CTGAGAATCCCCAGGAGTTGGCCACGGTCCCATGGAGGGCGGGGGGCGGTTTCCTTCCACTCAGCCCCGCATCCTAGCCTGACTCTCAATGCTTGAGTTGCCCTCCCTCGGGCCGGATTCCACGACCAATTTCCAACTGCGGAAGCGCGTGTCAGCCCCAGTCTCGGCTCCGCGCAGCGCACTTTCTTGCAGGGTGGTGTCCCAGCTCCCTCCAGATCCCTCTGCGCTGGTACGAGAAACCTGGGCCGGGGGAGGGGGGTGCGGCCTTTAGATGGGGGGGAAAAAAAACAAAACCGTTTAACCCAAAGCGTGAGAGCCACGGCCGGCTGTTATCTGGGGCTGAAGGCTGCGGTAATCGATGGGTTATTTTTACGCGGTAATAGGGCCTGTGATTGCTCTATTAACCTTTAGACCTGTCTGAGGGACTCTCCGGCTCACAGTCCCGCTGCGCCAGGGCCTGCAGGCACTGACGCCGACTCCAAACTCAAGTCTGACACCCTCCCCGCCCCCACTCCAGAGAGGAGACTCCAGCCCCTAGCACGCTGGGAAGAGCCTAGCACGCGGGGAAGCTCGCCTGGATCGCCGAGTTCCCAGCCCCCACCACGTCCCTTAGATTGGTGCAGCGGCCGCTGCAGGCTGCTAAGAAAATAGGGAGAGATCAGAAGCGAAAAGGCCGCCGGTGGGAAGCGTCGCCGGGAAGGGGTGCAGTTTTGCACAAGTACATAAAACAAGGCTCACGCCTTGCAGTCTCCCCGGGCTGCTGGGAAGGCAAAAGGGAGGCTTTGGTCTCCACACTCTAATTTTAGAGACCAGTCCGGAACTTGATGTCTCCTCAGTTTCTCTGGAGTCCGGGGATGAGAAGTTTTCCAGTACTCGGTCCCAGAAATCTGCGGCCAGCCGGACACCCCTAGGTGGCCCAGAGCCCTAGGAAAGATCCGGCGTCGAGGCGGAGAGGTCACCTTCCCCTCTTTTAGCCCCGCCTCTCGCCCACCGCGGCTGGTAGAGGACGACTGCAGGTTGGAGGTAAAGAGGTAACTCGTTAATAAAGCCGGTCCTGGGCAAAACAGCAAACTGTATCGACCTTAGCTTGGGCGGTGGCCAAAGCCCGGCGCCCTGGCAGTGGCCCTCGGGCGCTTTCCACAGAGATCCCTGCGCCTGGACTTTGCCTGCTGGGGGAGCTTTTTTGAGCTGCCTCCCGGCGCCCAGCGGAGGTACAGCAGAGGCACCCCTCCCCCCGTCCTGGCACGTGACTGCTACCGGCCAGTCAGCGCCCGCTAGCCCAGCGCAGGGGCAAGCGGAACGGCGCTGGGAGCTGAGCTAATAGCTGCCGGAGGCACAGTGGCCGCCAGAGGCTCCGCCGCCGCTGCAGCTCCGGGGGCGCCCGGGGAGCGCGAGCCCGCTCTTCAGGAAGCTCGAGGCTCGGCAGGTAGGGTTTTTCTCCCTCCTCTTTGCTGGTCCCCGTCCTTCGCGGAACTCGGAGCTCCTCCGTCCTGGTTTGCCTGGGAACAGAGAGGTCTCCAGGAGGTGGAAAGGAGTCATGGGTCACTCCCTCTCCCAAAGTGCTCAAAGCTTTCTCTGCTTTTGACTTAGGCATGGCAACTCTTTATCAAAGTAAGACCGGGGGCCAAGCGGAAAGAGAGGTTGAAAGGCGTTGGGATTCTTTTTGTGTGAACTTGAACACTTAGTCCGCCCCTGCGTGCACTCTCTCCAGTCCTCTCTGGCATCTCACAGACCGGGCCTGGGTGGTGATGGTGGCCGTAGAAAATAACCCTGACCGACCGATTAGGGACAGGCCTCACAGCAGCTCGCACACGGAGGGTGTAGACCCAGGGGTGTCGTCCGCCGGCGACAACGGGACTCGGCGTAGTAGTGAGAGGCAGCGCAGCGGGGGCCGGGGGGCGCTGGAGGCACTCAGAGGTCCGGCCGGACTTTTATGCCCTTTAAGGCCAGCTTCCTCCCCTTCTTTACGGGGGTCTGGGGAGCCAAATGCCCCGCAGAAAGCCAACAACCCACCCACCCTACTGCTTCTGGGTGGAACGCGTGGAGAGCCGGAACCCGGGCAGTGACGTTCCTCCGCCTGCCACCGCAGGCTCCCCGGATCCACCTTAGGTCGGTCGGCTTTGGCCTGAGAGTGGGGGGCGGTTACCCTTGGGAGAGGGACTCCGGGGTAGTGAACTGCCACCAGTTTGAGGGGAAGAGAGGCCTTTCATTGAGGGGAAGAGGATGGCGAGGGAGTCGTGGCGGATGGCAGTCCCGGAGCTGCTTGGCCCGCGCTGTTGGGCAGGTTGGGGAAGACCTCAGGGAAGCATTTCCTGTGCTTCTCGGAGAGGGAAGGCAGACAGAGTAGGTTTCCAGAGTCAAAAGAAAGAAAAGCTTCAATGGGTTGCCGGGGTAATGCCCCCCATACTTCTGAGTCTCCTTATCCCGGATTTCGGCAGGTTTGGTTACTGGTGGCCAGTGAGGACGCTCCTGGGTGACAGTTTTCTGCGCGGTAGGCCGAGAGCGGGTGCGAGCTCAGTCCTGTAAAAGGTCGTGAGCATTCAGGCGCTTGCAATTTTCTCACTTTGAAAAGATAGTTCAGAAAAGGGCCGTCGGTTAAATCATGAAAGGAAGAAGTATTTCCTTTGGGCCTGAGAACTTGAGGTGAATTGGGATGAGTGATCAGGAGGGGGAAAACTGGGGCACGGGCCACACTCTTTTGCCAGTCTCAGGAGCTCGCTGGGCTTGTCTGCGGTAGGCAGGACCAAGGCTCAATTACAGAAACAAGCAAGCCTCTTAAGGGTATAGTTTCTTAACTTTCCAGAATGATATAGAGGGGTAATTTCTCCATCTTCTGTGATTCCAGTTATCCAACTTCGAGGTAATATATCAGCCACTTGGAAAGGCAGAGAACGTACTAAAAAGACAAATGTTAGATTTGTAACATTTCTAGCATTTATATTTTAAAGTTTTAAATTTCGCACCTATATACTGCAAGTTGGATTGCAAAATTCTGAATTTCCTTCCTTTTTTGCAGCTTTATGAGAAAAGAAAATTTACAACGTTACATTTTAGAATTACAAGACTTGAGTTTTACAGAAAATGCAACTAAATAGGTCAACTATTTGATATAAAAGTTAAATATTGGATATTTTATTAAGGGAAACCTATTTATTTACTTATCGAAGCCCAGAGACTACTAGGAGGTATTAATTTTTTGCTTTTGTTTTCAAAAATAAATGTTGGTGACCTCAGTTCAATTTTTTTGTATCCATCTTCTAACTAAACTTGATGGAAGGAAATGTGCACCAAACCAATAGTTTATTGTGTATTTTGAAAGCAAATAAAAAAAGCCATTTAGCAGTTACCATGTGTCTAAGTAATTCAGTGCCATTAATTTTATTATTGTTACTAGTGATGTTGAAAAAATGGTAGAAAGTATTATATAATTAAGTGTAGTAAAAATTCCACTTTTAGAATTTTTACAATAATAAAGGTAATCATTTATTGTGGCATATATTATGTCTCAGATGCTTTTTATAGTATATTAAAAATCTGTAATAATAGCCAACAGTTATATAGAACTTTCTGTGTGCCTGTTGTAAGACCTTATTATAAATACTTTATGTGTATTCATTTATAATTCATGCTCTTAATTCTCACATTGGCTGTAGGAGACAGAAGCCTTTAATATTTGTACTTTGTAGGTGAGGAACTGAGGCACAGAGAAGTTAAGTGATTCATCTAAAAGTTATTAATTTACTAAGTGACAGAGCCTAGATTTAATACATGGTTCAGTTAATATCCTTGTAAGTCTGCTGTTGCAATAAAAAGAAACTACTGTGAGAAGCAGCTGTCTTTTCTGGAGGAGAGAAATGTGGGTGTCTTGGACGGGTTCAAGCTCTTGGAGCCTTATGGACACCCCCCCATGCCCTCTAATTGTACTTTGATCTTAGATGAGTTTCAAAATTTTTCAATGCTTCCTTTCCCTCTTTTGTAAAATGAGGGAAGACCCCTTGACTTAGGGTGCAGGATCTGGGAAAAGGACCTGGGGCAAACAGGTGCTTCAGAAAGTGGAGTTCTATGTTTTTAGGAAGAAGAAAAAACAAAAATCTCTGGCATTATGAACACAGGATGCTAGGAAGCATACAGTCAAACTCTATGAACTGTGCTTTTACCAAGCAGTCTCACTGGTGTGCTGATTCTGCATATGGGTGGACCTGTGATTCCACAGGGAAAAAAACAAACAAAAACTGTCCAGTGAATTAGAATGGTTCACTGAGTTGTTCTGTAAAGTGATCTTGTACATTTCTTCTACTCTTTTGGTCCCCATATGCAATCTGTAAAATGTCTAAAATATAACTGTTTGCTATAAACACGTAGCTAGTCTGATTTGACATCCACACGGTATAGTGTATGGATAAGGGGTTTCATGATCCTTTTTAGAGATTTTGCAGACACCGTTGCTCATTTATAAACATTGAGACTCTACCTCTAGCCTTTTTGTTTTTAAGATTGCAAACAAAACTTTCTTAGGTTACTGGTTTTTATAAAGATTGTCATTGTTTCCCCTCTGACAATCTAAAAGTTCTTGGCCACGTTTGCTCAAGGAGAAATGGGGGGGAGGGGAGGGAGAGTTCTTGGGTCCCAGGCATCCCCCTAATCTGAAACTCTCGAATTCATAAAATATTGTAGCAAAAATATGCTTTGAAGAATAAGGTAAAATTAAAGTCCTTCCTAATAAGCGATCAAAAATAAACGACCTAGATCACAATCAAACTGGTCTAGATCCTACATGTCCAAGACCCCACTTCCACAGGGCACCCTACCAGAGGCTTGCGATACCCCACCGCTGGGGCAAAACAAAGGCGGCGGCTGTCCTCGGAACCGCGCGGCCTAGGAAGCCGAGCCTGAGTCGGGCATTTAGTTTGCAGGGCAGGAGAACCAACCAAGCTTGGGGACGGTGACCTCTGAAAGCTCTGGATGAACCTCTTTTTCTCATTTTGTCGTTCTTCCTTTAGGACCCTGGCTGCAGCAAGGCGAAGGAGTCCTCTAGGCCTTCGGAACTGGAGGCTTCCGACTGGCGCTGCGGGTGTTCTGGAGGCAGTGCACAGCGACCCGCGCAGGACCAAGACCTCTGGACGTGGCAAGTGGGTTACCCGAAGGCGGGTGCCCCCACACCAGCGCCCAGGCACCACCTTGCGTTTTGTGCCGCCCTGAGCGCTCCAGACCTCCAGGCCCTGGGCGGAGAGGCCCCTCCTGCACCACCTTCCGGAACCACCAAAACTGCAATTTCGATTTTCCTGAGTAAACAGGAGCCCAGAGCCTTTGCTCGATGCTGGATTTAATATGCAGACCTCTTTGAGGGCCTTGGTCTTTTTCCCTTTGGTTTTTAATCATTTTTGTGACAGTCCCTCACACGTGCATTACTAGTCTCGTGGTCTTCTCTCCCCGCGCGGCTCTTTGACCAGCGAGGAGGGCGACGCGAAGAGCTCCCGGGGGCGATGTACCAGAGCCTGGCCATGGCCGCCAACCACGGGCCGCCGCCGGGGGCCTACGAGGCGGGCGGCCCCGGCGCCTTCATGCACGGCGCGGGCGCTGCGTCCTCGCCGGTCTACGTGCCCACGCCACGGGTGCCTTCCTCGGTGCTGGGCCTGTCCTACCTCCAGGGTGGTGGCGGGGGTGCTGCCACCGGAGCCGCCTCGGGCGGCAGCTCGGGCGCGGCCCCGTCGGGTGCCGCTCCTGGGACACAGCAGGGCAGCCCAGGCTGGAGCCAGGCGGGAGCCGAGGGAGCCGCCTACACCCCGCCACCGGTGTCCCCGCGCTTCTCCTTCCCGGGGACCACAGGGTCCCTGGCGGCCGCCGCCGCCGCCGCCGCCGCCCGGGAAGCCGCGGCCTACGGCAGTGGCGGCGGGGCGGCGGGCGCGGGCCTGGCCGGCCGCGAGCAGTACGGGCGCGCGGGCTTCGCGGGCTCCTACTCCAGCCCCTACCCGGCCTACATGGCCGACGTGGGCGCGTCCTGGGCCGCGGCCGCCGCCGCCTCCGCCGGCCCCTTCGACAGTCCGGTCCTGCACAGCCTGCCCGGGCGGGCCAACCCCGCCGCCCGACACCCCAATCTCGGTGAGTACTGCGGGAGGACCCCGAAAGGGGGCCGGCATCAGGCTGGCTGTCTCCAACCCTCCTGGGGCTGGAGATTTAAAGTGTTGGGTGGGGGAGGGTGCTTGATGCCATCGAGTTTCCAACGTAAGCAAACTGGAAGACATGCTGGTGGCGATGGGCTGCAGGGCGGTAACCAAAAAAAAAAAAAAAAAAAAATGAAGCGGAGACAAGCCCAGACCCAGAGTCCGTCCGGCTCCCAGCCCGGGGATCCTGGGAGGACGGCGCTGGCGACCCCGCGGGGTTTCTGCTCCGGTTTCCTCCCCACCCTCCTCAGCCGCCTCAGTGGAGCCCTGATTACACTGGCTTGGACCTGAGATCCAGGCCATTTGGCAGCCCAGTTGGAGGATCCCTCCAGGTGGCAGATGATTTTCCCGTGTGTGGAGGGGTGGGTTTCACGCCGGAAACAGGAGGGACCAGCAAAGGAGACCGCCTGGGGGTGGATTGAACTGGGGTCTGCGCTGGGTGGGTCTTCTGGGCGCTGTGTGGTCCCGTAGTCCCAGGTCCGCAGGGCTGGGATGGGGCCAGACACCTCCGGTTCTTTATATTTTCCGGGTTAAATAGAGACTTTGCAGCTGCTTCCACACCTTGAACCTCCTCTTCCCGCTTTTAGGCAGGGCTTAGAAATCATGATGGACGCAATTCAGACCTGGGAGGGACTGCAATCAGCCCCACTTCCCGGATTTGTAGATGAATGAATTGATCTCTCGGCCTGGCACTTCGGCTGAGAGAGACAGGGAAGTGGCAACCACTAATTCAAAATGCAAACGACCTCTGGTCTGAGGAATTTCAAGGAGGACTGGAGGATCGGGTTTGAATTGAGTTGGCTCTTTGGAGGGAGGGGAAGACCAGAGAGAAACAAAGTTAACATTTATTGACTACCTACTAAGTGCTAAACCCTTTGCTTTTGTTCTGGCTTTGAAGAGTAAAGTCTGCCTCTCCCTGTTTCCAGCATTGAACTGGCTCCTGTAGGGACACTGGCTTTGAAGACCTTTTAAATTATTCTCTGACCCTGGGTGGTTGGGGTAGCTCTCTGGGAGTGGGGGTAGGTACCCAAATACACATCCCAGGTAAACTGATTAACCAAGGACATGGCACCGGGGCTGGGGGTTGGGACCACAGCTCCCTGCGTCCCCCTTCCCCACACTGGGAAACCAGATGGCACCCCTGGGGGGGAGGAGGGGCCCGCACCAATCTCTGCGGGTGGACCTTTGAGATAGTGTGTAGCAGAGTCTCCATATAATGGTGGCTGGAGGGGGGTGTGTAGGGCGCTTCCGCCCTGCGTTCTTATTCTCTGGGGTCTCTTCTGAACCCCTTCTGGGGCCTCTGGTTTAAAATAGGATTTAAAATAGGGAGGAATGGCCCCCACAGTCTTCAGGGTGGCACTGGGCGTTTCCTTTGGAACCCCTGTAGTCTTGGAGTGAGAATTTGGTATTTGCTTAAGAAAAAGAAGGAAGATGCAAATCTAAAGACCAGGAGATCTTGGGGACCTCCGAGTTACAGCCTCAGCAGTAGTTACAACACAAAGCGACACTGTGTGAGTGCTCACTGTGGGTATTTGGATTTCACCTTGCAAGCACTCCGCACAGGGAGGTACTGAAGTCCTGGTTCCCCAAATTCCAGGGTCAACAGTGGGAGCTAACCTTTGAGGAGCATCTAGCCAGGACTGCTCCTGGCTCTGGCTCAGCTCCACCCCACCCTTCTTTCAGGAAGCCCCTGGGTTTTCTTTCCTGCCACAGCCAAGAGTTTTAAGTGGTCAAGTTATGAAGGTGCTACGTTGTCTCTGAAGGAAGGCCAGGCATGTCGGGTTGTTGGCGCTGAGACCTTCAGCATGTTCTGCTGGTGGGCGGGGCTTACATAAAAGCATCATTTCCACCAAAAGCAGTGGCCCCTCCCACCCCTTCCCCTGATGGAGAGTGAGCCTAGGGGCCTGGGCCTAACACATGCTGGAGGAGCTCTCCACCCCAGCTACTCCCCCAGATTCTGTCTCTGTGTGGGGGCGCGTGCTGGGGGCGGGCGTCAAACCTGGGGCCTCCTGCTCGCTAGGCAAGCACTTTAACCCTGAGCCATATCCCCAGTCCCTTAACGTGTTCTTCCCTCACAAGGTCCTTTGGTCAATGCCTGGTAGCTTAGGTGGCCAACTCCGGTGATGGGAGGAGGAGAATGGTGTCCATGCTGCTTGCTGAGAGCTCGGTGGGGAGCTAGTGACCACCCACCTCTGAGGTGGCAGTACAGTGCGCTGGAAAGAGCACAGGTGCCTGAAGTTGGGCAGACCTAGTCTGGGTTCCAGGTGCCCCATGTGATCTCAATCTACCTCTTTTTTTGTAAAATGGGATCATCACGACTACTTTTAATGTTGTCTTAATTAGATAAGGTGACACTTGTGATGTATAGTATTTGGCTTTGTCCCTTCACAAATCATGACATTTTATTAAACACACTCACTGTTATGTACAGTGACCAATTTTTCTGTTTTTTTTTTGCCCCCCTGGACTGAGGAGATTCCCGGAACTTTTAGTGCTGACCTGAACAGTCTCCAGTGAATAGGATGGTTGGTCATAAGTAGACATGAAATAGGTAAATGACTCCCCGACCTGGTCTAGGGGAATTAGCTGGGAACAAAGAAGAGAAAGCAGAGAAGGTTCTTCCCTCCTTGTGAGTGTCTAGAAGTCTTCACCTAAGTGGTGCCATCTGCACTGGGCCTTTTTTTTCTTTTTTAGTTGTAGACCAACACAATACCTTTATTTATTTATTTATCTACCTATGTTGTTATTTATGTGGTGCTGAGCTTCGAACCTAGTGCCTCACACGGACTAGGCAAGCGCTTTACCACTGAGCTGCAACCCCAGCCCTGCACTGGGTATTGAAGGAGTTGGCCGAGAAAAGAACCTGCAGTTAAAACAAAAACAAAATGAAAGAAAGAAAAAAAAGAAGATATGTCCTCACTTATCAATATACTGTGTAGTGCCATGAAATAATGCAACATGGCCCGCCTTTTGCTTAAAAATGTATTTATGAACACAAGTAAAACCACAAAGACTAATTCAATGAGGAGAAATAAGACTACACCTTTATTTTTCTGTGAAGTGTTACCTGCTTTGGTATTAATAGTTAACGTCTTGCCAGAGTTCTTACATTGGTTATTGGAATAAGACAAAAATCAAGATGATAAAAGGCAACAGGGCTATCTGTAAAGCCCTGCACTTAGGTTGGAAGAAATTATTCTGCCCTGACTAATGTATGTGGACTTTAACTCATTCCAAGTTCAATATGAGCAATGACCCTGAAACAATTATTGAAATCCATTAATTAGGCACATAAGTGGAGTTCTGTGACCTTCCTGAGGGCAGGTGTGGAATCTTACTCATATTTAAGTGCCTGGCACATGCTGGGCACTTGACAAATATTTGAGTAGAGATCTGGGAGATATTGCCCCAGTCTCTACCCTGCCCTGGTCGAACTACAGGGAATGGCTGCTTGAGTCCTTTAAGAGGCAAACTGAGAGCCTCGGGGGAGCTTGGGCAGGATGGAGAGAGTCCTGGAAACCTTGGGGAACTGCTGGAGGAAGCAGGGCTTTCAAAGTCTACTGTCTCTTGGGACGCTGTGGGTGAGTAGATACTAGGTCTCAGAACACTGTTGCCCATCACTGTAGTCCTGGAAATGCATCCTGGACACTGGCGGTGTTTGCAGGGAGGATGCATGGTCACATGCCAGTGGAAACACGCAGTCTGTTTTTGCATTTCAAGGGCTGGGATCCGTGTGTGTTGCATAACAGTGGCAGGAGGATTAAATAACCAGTTGTGGTGGTCACACTGGTATATACATTTGGCAAAACTCATGGAAATACAGTCTTAAAATAGTGTATGTACATTACTCCACGGTACAGTTGATGCTCTCAATGAATTAATGTGTGTGTATATTTGAGACTGAAAAGGAGACTGATATGGAAATTATATGTAAATATGCCTTGAAGGATATAGTGTGGTGGTAGGTGTTCCTGGAAAGGCTAAATAATGTATTTTACTAAGCAATATTAATTCTTTTGTGTCATGGAGAAACAAGCAATTATAATATTCTCAAAGGACCTCAAAAATTTTGAATCATTTGAAAGCTCCATGAAAATAACAATGAAATACAGGTGCGCCAATTTCTTTTAAAAGTTTTGTTCCATTAGGTGCAGGGTGGGGCACTCAAGGTGCTCCAAGAGTTTGTTTATGGCGGAGATCTGTGGAAAATGCTGTAGTGTATTTTGGACCTCTGGGGGATTGCTTATCAATTAAGCCAGTTGCTTTCAGAGCCAGTTCATTTATTTTGTGAGACCAACTCTGAAGTAGCCTGTTTGACTAGAGAACAATTTGTCAGTCTTCAGGAAAACCGAAGTTGTTTAACTTTCCGGTTACCACCCTGAGCAGGTCAGTCAGAGTTGGAACTGGTCTGTGGTGCTAAGTAGAGAACCAATTCAATAAGGAAGGTGTGTTGGGGCCGCCTGGGGCATGTCACTACCCCCAGTGAGACCTGTCACTGCCCAATTGTGTCCTATCACAAGGTCGGCCACATTTGCTAGGCACTTTCTAAGCACTCAGGTGGAATGATGCACAGGACACAGTTGTAGATAACATTTTCTTCTGTATCCCCCCTATATTTTTTTTCTGTCTTAAATGTACTAAGAAAACAAATATACTCTAAGGTGTGGGGAAACAGGAACTCTGATACCTGGCTGGCAGTGTAAATTGGTACAACCTTTATGGAGGTCCCTGGTGGTATCAGTCAAGTTACAAAGTCGATAGCCTTGACATAGATTTTTTTTTTTTTTTTTTTTTTTGCACCAGGGATTAAATTCAAGAGCACTAAACCACTGAGCCATATTCCCCTTTTTTTGTATTTTATTTGGAGACAGGGTCTCAATGAGTTGTTTAGCACCTTGCTTTTTGCTGAGACTCATGATCCTCCTGCCTCAGCCTCCC